TGAGAGTTGAGGTGCTGGCGGCAGGTTCTTGACTATTTGTCTTTACCCTCCCATCATGAGTTCCCGAGGTTCCAATTCGTGCGGCTCTGCCGACAGGTCAAATTCTTAGGCCCCGTGTCGGCCTTCTTCATTTCGGGTTTGCTTGTGCTTGGCCGAGTTCGTCTGAACATTCCCTTCATTTTGCTCCTTCCCAGCCCCTTCGCCCGAGCGAGGGCCTTTGTTGTGGCAACGAGTTATCCTATGATCATTGTCACCAATACGACTAATGACTATGATGTTGTTCATTCACAGTGATCAGTGTCGTTGTCGCCGGTTTTACTTGTGGCATCCTAAAGCAAACCTGCTGAGTTCACGTTTTTTGCTGCGCATTCTGGTTGTGGTGATGCTGGAAATGATGGTGGCGATATATGGTGATGACGATGATGGAGCTAGTCGTCATCGTCGCCGCCACCTCCACCGCAGCCTCCACCCTCAACCCCCGCCCACCCACCCACCCACCAGCCACCACCCGCCACCTACCACCCGCCACCGCACCACCGAGCACCAGGCACCAGCCAGCGCCAGACAGCAGAAGGCAGCACCAACCACCACAACCCGCCACGCATGCCACCATGGGAACGACCACCATCGAACGATACCTGAACAGGTGATCCGTACCTGGTCTTCCGTTATTTGGACGACGACAACTCAGGCCTTGTGTTCGAATCCGTGGCTGTGGGAAACACACTACGTTGAACGCCAGTGGCAGGGGAGCTTACGCTGGAAGAAGTACACAAAGATCAGAACGACCTTTGGGCACCTGAGCTTGGTATGAAGCAATAGATTTTCATGGTTCATGCTCAGGTACTTGTTGCCAACTTGTTGCAGCAGGGGTGATTTCGTACATTCTAGATAGCAAGCGGTACTTTGCTGCTTGGCCCCCGGAATGACTGGTGGGCCCAGTCCTGACATTCACGCTCACGATCTCAGTCAGCACTTTGCATCTCACTCCCAAGGCCGCTTTTGTTGATTTTTGTGCAGAGAGCTTTGCCGGATCACTTGACTTGATCCAGCGACTTGGCAGCTGGCGGCAGCACCAGTGGAGCGTGTTATGTTGATTAGGCTTTTCTACCTGCCTTTTAATGCTCCTTTGGTGGACCACTGTCTGTGGGCAAAGGAAGCTGAACGGTGGTGGTGGCGAGCGGAAAGTCAGTTCACAACAGTTTCAAGAAGGCCTACACCGATATGGATGGACAGGCAGGTTTTGCACAGACGGACATCGCCGGTTCGTGTATGCAGAAGTTTTGGTTTTTGTTTGTTCGCCATACCTAAGGATTCGCCTCGTGAACTTATCATTCGCAAAGCCCAAGTGGCCGGGAAACAGAAAGGTTGCAACTCTCTCACCGCTGGCTCAGAGAGCAGACTGAGTGTTTCGGCTCGCGAGAGACCAGTGTTGGGCGAGCCGCGCGCTATCGCAATCTATAAGACAAGAGAGTGAGGCTGCGGAGTTCAACATTGGCTCTGTGATAAGCATTCTTCTGGTGCATTTGGGCGGGCCCGGGTTGAGACTTGCATAGCAGGTCACGGAGGTATGGTCTCGCATACTTGGCGCAAGTGATAAAGCCAAGCGTCAAGAGCGACGGAAGCTTCAGGTGACTGGATGGTCTGTAGGACTGGATCAACAGGAGAATATACTGCAAATGGAACTACGCAACGCACGCACACACACACACACACGCGCGCACACACACACACACCAGGCTTCTGCTGGGCAACTCCGTGAATTTCAAGAGTTTGGGGAAGTCGCAAAAGTCAAAACAACACGCTCGAACACAGCGCACCCTTGGATGCAATAGCTTTGGACATGGTTTTCCTGCAGTGCGACCTGGTCAGCGAAGCGGGTGGGAAAACTAGCTTTGTGTATCGTTGTGTAGTTGTACAGTTGCCTGTGCGCTGAATTTCCTTTAACCTTGACGTTGACCTTAGCAGACATGGAAACATGACGCTGCAACTTCCGCCGTGGCCAATGTGCAGCCCAAGCGGAAATAACTCCGACAGTTCATTCCGGAGCATAAGGACATCTGCGCGACACGCACGACGGTTTCTTGACAGGAGCGAATGCAGTAGATCGGCCTCAGTGTGATGAGGCGGTTACGAGCTCCTCCTTTTTGATGCAGTTGACCTTGGAGGCTTGCGTCCACTCATGTTCACTCAGCCCAAGTCGAAGTGTCTGTTTATGTCTATACCAGGCGATGGATTTATCGAGTCTGGAGACTTGAAGTGGTTGGACATTCAGCAGAAGCCGGCACCTAAACTGTTGAGTGCTCCCTGTCTATTGATCGGCGTCGCAATCGTCGCATGCCAACCAAACTCACCACTCGTTTCTTCAATTGGGCTCCAGCCAGCTCGAGAGAAACACGTGCTTGTTCCAGCCTTCGCTCAGCACTCCTCATGTCGGCCTCCATTGCCGTCCGTCCAGCTGCTTGGTGAGAATTGGGGAAGCGGTCCGGAGCGGGGTGTTTCGAAGCCTGAACAGCTCTGCGACTTGCCATTCTGATTGCGTCGCGGGTGC